CGTGGGGACCTGCCGAACGTCTCGGTGGGCGCCTGGGGGACGCGTGTCTGTGGGGAGGGTGAGCACAGCCCGTGATGTTGGTGCCTGTCTCCGCGCAGCTCACATATCCGCCATGCCTGGGACCCGACCAAGTCGGTGGCACAGAATCTGGCCGAGATGGGCCTGGCCGAGGATCCCAACAAGGCCGTCCCTATCCCCAGGAAGAAGCTGCTGGTAAGTGCAACCGTGGGCCAGTGAGGAAGGGCAAGGGGGGCTCGGCTGGGGCTGCTCCTTTGTGGGGGGTGGAAGGTCAGGCCTCCCCTAGGACATGTAGCCGGGCTTGGGAAAAAGCAGTGTGGAGAGCAGCCTGCCTTGGAGTGCATGTCTGGATCAGTGTCTATAGGTGGATGGGTTTCATATCTTTATTAAGCTTTTCTTGCCAAGATCCTGGGATGGGAACAGGCTACAGTGTCACAGGGAGATAATGGGCTTTGGAGCAAGTATAAATAACGTTAATCAGTCTCCTGGGGCTTGCCAGAGGGAGATGGGGTTGGGAACGCTGCAGCAAGTTGCTTCTGGTAACAAAGAAAGCCTCCTGGTGTACAGCAGTGCTAGTCCAGCCTGCCTGCGTTGGTGGCAATGCTTCCAAGTGAAAGGTGGCCCCACAAAACGTCACACATGTAAAAAAACATCAGTGACTTGTTTGCCACTTGTCTCTTCACACAGTATTGCTTGGCTGATAGTCTTGCCCATGGGCTAGCCTGATAGCACAGATAAGGCTCTGTTTAAGACAGCTGAGATTTCCTGGTCCTAGCAGCAGTTGCATAAGCAGTTTGGAGTTTTGGGAGCAACATATGGGGACACAGCTTTCTTTTAAATGATTTTTTTTGAGTTGCCTTCTTTCTCATTTAACACAGGGGATGGAAATGGAAAGCAGTGGACAAGGAAAGAAAATAGTGCGGAAGCCCTACGTGGTGAATGGTCAGTGCCACTTCTGTCCTCCCCAAGAAGTGCTTTACCACCTTTAGCACTGGCGGGTTTCCTGCTGAACTGCAGCACTGCCATTGCATTTTGGGTTCTCCCAAGGCCCTGTGGGTTATTTTGTCTCTCATCTCTGTGCTGTGCCAGGAGTAGGGGAAGGGTGTTACTTCTTGTCCAGGCTTGTGGGCTTGTAGGGGAATACCCCCCTGGCAGCTGTCAGCTGTGTGTTCCCAGCCAGGCTGGAGCTGAGCCAAGAGCCAGGACAGCAGCTCTGCTGTTTCTGTGTGTCCTCTGTCTCATGAATTTCCTTTACTTTCCTGTGCTGCCTTTTTCACAGTATTTCTACCTGTGGCCCCAAGAGGGCTCTTACCACTCTGAAATGTGCTGGTGTTTGGCACCAGGGGGACAAGAAACTATGGCTACAGTACCCAGTGGTGGGCTGGGCAGCTCTGAACAATCATGCTCTGCAGCCTGGGCAGAAAGGCTCCACTCTTCCTGGTGGGAGCTGGAGTTGCTGCAGTACAGGCCTGGCAGCCTGCAACCTATGCAGCAGGCTGTTGTCCTGTTTGTTTTCCTGCATGATTGTGCTGGGAAGCAGCCTTATGTATGCAAGCAGCTGAGCTGTGCTGCAGGAGCCACCTCCTTTCAACATACTGGCAGGGCTCATCCTGGGAAGAGGCTGGGGAGCTCTTGAGGTGCTGCTTGCTTCCCTGCCCTGCTTCATGGTATCTGTTCTCTGCCTAGAGATGGAATATGAGGCCAGTCTCCCTGAGAAGAAGTCAAACACCCTCTCACGAGACCTCATTGATTACGTGCGGTACATGATACAGAACCATGGGGAGAACTACAAGGTATGTACTAGCTATCCCAGAGTGAGGAGCACCCGGAGCAATTCACTCCTGGATCTTCTGCAGGATGAGGATCGCTAATCCTCTGTGTCTTGGATCCTGTTTTGCAATTAGCAGGTTGTTAAGGGGAAGCAGCACTTTGAACCTTGGCCGAGCCCTGTCTGAGTCAGGCAGCGATCGCAGCCAGCCTGCGTGGGCCTTTGGAGCGTGGCTGGTCTGGTCTGGTGTTTGCTCTTGGGGCCACTCCTCTGGCTTACCCTCTCCTTTGTCACAGGAAATGGCTCGAGATGAGAAGAACTACTACCAGGATACTCCCAAGCAGATAAAAAGAAAGATCAATGTGTACAAGAATTTCTATCCCGAGGAGTACAAGGATTTCATTGCATCACTCAAGCAGGAAAAGATGGATGTGCAGTGACTGCCCTTTTTCCTCAGGTTTGCCTGCAAGTGCAGGCTTGACTTGACCATTTTCTGAAGCAAGCAGGGACTGAGACAGGTGACAGTCACTCATGGGCTCAGTGCTTGCAAGTTAAGCTATGCAAAGCCTCTGGCAATGGAGGAAGGACCTTCATTAGACAGAGACAGTTATAACCAGGCATGGAAAACTCTTGGCTGTGGCTTGTGGCATTGGGACTGAATGTGCTGTGCCACTCCCTTTCTGTGTGGCAGCCAGCACTTCTTTCACCTTGTTAAATAAATAAATTTCAAACTGGTGTGAATGTCTTGCTCGTGGGCTCTTGCTTGGCGCAGTCCCACTCTGGAGAGCCCCCGGTGCCAACCTGTGGGACATGGGCATCGGGCACATGTCACCCTCTGCAGCAGCAGGGCTGGGGGCAGCACTGGGGCCTTTGCTGATTTCCCTGTAGGCAGCAGAGGTTGGAGCGGGGCCACATGCTGCTTCCTTCCCCATGAACAACCTTCCTGCCCCCAGCCCGGGAGAGCAGGTTGGGGGCCCCTTCCCTGCCAAGGAGCTGGAGGGCAGCGCAGAGTGATCAGCCTCTTTTATTGACAAAAGGAAGAGACTACAAAAGGTTTTGCAGCAAAGACTGGCCGGTGTGTCCCTGATGTGTTCCCTGGCCTCCACAGTCTTCCTGCTGCCTGCAGGCAGGGCTTCCTGCGGTCCTGAGCCCAGCTCCTTCCCCTTCTTCCTGGGGCAGCTGAGAGGGAGGGAGACAGGCCGGGGTGGGGGGAAATGCCTGCTGGGTGCTGCTCCTACCAAACAGTATCTTCACCCTTTCTCAGGGTGAAGGGGCAGCGCAGAGCTGTGTGATATTTGCCTTCATCTCCCCTAAACAGGGCTCTAAATACTGGGGGAGTTGAGAGCTGTGCTCAGCCCCAGTAAGGGACATCCTGAGCTGGTTATTTCCACTGGCGCACACTGTGCCAGCAGGGCTGTGCCACCAGTAACTCCTCAAGTTTTTCAGGAAGGAGAGCCCATCTCCTGGGATGACCTGTCCGTGCCAGCAGACGAGAGGGTTACCTCGCTTATTCAGCCCCATTCATTTAATATCCTGCAGGGCTGCCATGAAGCTGTGGGGCTCTGCCCTGTGCTGCATGTTCCCACTCACCAGGAGGTAAGAGCCGTGCTTGTGCCTCCATCCCAAGGGAGATTTTGTCCCTGAAGTGGTGAAGGCAGCTACCCTCTCCCCACAGCAGAGAGCAGAGCCTGCTACTCGTGTTCCCTGAGGGCAGCTGTGCCACAGCTCAACCCCAAACCTCATGGGGTGCAGCAGACACCCCAGGACTGTCAACCTGCTACCAGGGAGTCTGAGCTTCACCTGCGCCCACCCAGCTGCCTCCACTGTCGCACCACAGACCCCAAAGAGGAACCATGCTGGAGGTAGGGGCCTGTCCACCCCCGGCACGGGCTCAGAGCTGGGAGAGCAGGGTGACCAACAGGCTCTTCACACGTAGGACGCTGGTGGCAGTGCTCAGGCTGGCCCAGGTCGCGCTGGTGGGCAGGAGGAAGAGCTCCCGCTGCTCACTGAGCGTGTGCAGGGCCAGCTCCTCCCGCAGCTCTGCTGCACTCAGGGCATCGCTCTTGTCCTGCAAGGGAGAGAGGTGGCTGCTGAGGAGGGGAGCAGTGCCGGGAGCAGTGCTGCCGGCTGGCAGGAGCGTGTCCTGCCTGTGTGGTCCTGGCAGGGATTGTGCACAGGCAGGGCTGCCTCACTCTTGCAATGGTGTGGCTTTGGCGCAAGCTAATGGGAAGCAGCATTGGGCATGCTCTTGGTCGCCTGCCTGGGGAATGTATTTCCCCTTGGGGATTTTGCAAGCTGTTGCCAGGGTGCTCTCCTAAAACTCATTAGCTGTCACACTGGTAGTGGCAGCCAAAGCCTCCTAACGAAGACTGGAGAAGACAGGCCCTGAGAAATCAGATTTTGCAAGAGTTGGCAGATTCTGAGCATTAGGATTTCCCCTCAGGGCCCTGGGGAGGGATAGTTTTGCTGGAAACAGTCCTGGGAGCAGCTGTGGGGTCAAGCGGGCAGACAGACGGACACCCACCTGCTTGTTGGCCAGCACGACCAGGGGCAGCCGGGGCTCCGCGGCCAGCAGCGTGTGCAGCTCCTGGCGCGCTGTCAGCAGGCGCGACCTGTCCACTGAGTCCACCACAAACACCAGCACATGGGCCTGGCTCAGGTAGTGGGGCCAGTATGCTCGCAGGTTCTGGCTGCCACCCACTGCGGAAGATGGGTGGCATCAGGCACCGGCGCCGGGGGGGAGCGGGGCTGCCGCCTCCCTGTAGCACCGCAGGGAGACAGTACTCCCATCACCTGCGATGTTCTGCACCCCAGCCTGGTGCCAGGAGGCGGGGGGACCCTCTGGGCCGTGCAGACTCAGCCCCAGGGCACACGGCAGGGTCAGGCCAGCTTACCCTCCAGCAGGTCCATCTCCAGCCCCTCGACGTAGAGCTGGGCAGAGTTGAAGCCGCGGGTGGGTGCGATGTGCTCCCTGGCCGTCTGGCTGCAGATGTAGTGCAGGACGCTGCTCTTCCCGGCCCCGTCCAGCCCCAGCACCAGCACCTGCCGCCAGTCCAGCTGTGGGGATGCCGCAGGAGGTGGGGTGGGGGGGAAGCCGGTCCCAGGACCCACAGCCCGGTGCTCAGGACCAGCCCACAGCAAGGGGTCCTTGACAGCCCCCCCAGCCTCTGCACCCCTATCTCCAGCCCAGTGGGCCCCAGAGGTGGTGCAGACTGGGGACCCCTTCCCAGCAGAACGGGCTGCAGGAGGGTCCCCAAGGGCCATCACCCTGCGGAATATCCTGGAAAACCCAGGCTGACCGGCTCCGGGGGATCCTGGTGTGAGATCCCAAGGGCGCATATGCTGACCCTGTGCCCCCTTCCCCAGCCCCACGTGCTCAGAGGGATCCCACTGGCCACCCAGAGGCCTCCCCAGCCTGGTGATCACCGGGGCGATCCCGACCCCTGCTCCTACCCTAGCCTGACGGTCTTGGGGGTGTGAGGAACCCGGAGGGATCCCGGAGGGATCCCGGCCCCGCTGACCCGTCCTCGGTACCGGGGCTCCCGGGGAGATCCCGACCCTGTGTCCTTCCCGTCCCGCGATGGGCCGGGGGTCCCGGCGAGGGTCCGTCCCCTCCTTACCGCGTCGCCGGGGGGAGCTCGGTCCCGCAGCTCCTGCAGCTCGTGCTCCCACCAGTCGCTCCAGCCGATGCCGGTGCCGATGCCGCGGAAGTAGATCTTCCAGGCGATGAAGAGGAGGGAGCCGAAGGCGGCCACGGCGGCCCCCAGGGCCAGCGTCAGGTCCCG